GAAACATGCAACGTCGATCTTCAGTTTCTACGAAGAAGAAGCTCGTTTTTCAACGAGCCAATAGCTCATTGCCGTGCCAAATGGACGATGTAAAAGTAGCTAAGCGCCAATTCTAAGTAATTTTGTATTGTCTGATCTTGATGTAGATAATCATCACACCTTGGAAATATTTATGTAAAAGAAAGAACAAATTGTTACTCATTTATTATAATAATCCAGGAAACAACACTCAACATTATGCATTTATATAAATATATTTATAGATTATATTATTATATTATATTATGGTATTATTAATATCAAAATTTTAAGCTGAATGATTGATTCGTTAAGTAGATTTACTTAACATGATTTATTTAATTATTATAATATTTACTTATTTAATTACTTATTTAATAATTTATTTAATTATTATTGCATCATTATAGGGGAAATAATTTTACAGTCTATTCCACAGTTTTTTGCTTATATTTTCTCGGTAAAATCTTAAAATTTATCTATTATAATAAAAAAAAAAATCTGAATTTATTGCGTATTGCTACTGTCATGCTATTGTAGATGTAATCTAAAAATATGTGTGTGGAACTTTATTCGCGTAACACGCAATTCAGTCTCGTGACTGTCGAAATATGTTTACGGATAATTTTGGTCAATTTTAGAGAACTCATTCCCTGATGGAACAGCATAAAATCGCCAAGTATCCGATCGATTGGCAAACAACGATAATCTATTTGCTATTCGCATTTGAAATTGTGTAGTCGAGACATGGGACTGATAGAGGATAAGAGAGAGATAGAGAAAGAGAAAGCGAAGAAAAAGAGAAAAAGAGTTCATGTCGATCGTGTGCTCGGCCGAAAAGCTCGTCGCAGCAGCCAATCGTGGTACGTGGACCGTTAAGCGTGGAGAAAAACCGCGCTCTGGCAATCTCGGTACTGCCACAGAGAGATTTTGCCCGCCTGCACGGCTAAAGATTGGCCAATTTCCGAGCCATCGTGGATTCGCCGGAGAATTCTCTTCGACCTCTCCTGCATGGCGGCCGATCGATCCCAAGTATCTCCTTCGCGAAAACGTCGTTTAATAATAATAACGATACGACGAAGGAGTCAAGATCGATCGATCGTAAGAAGCTGTCATAAACAACATCGAACTCATGCAATATCAAACTGCTTGTAGAAGCCTTTATATATTTTGCAAGATGTTTATTTTTATGCACTTGTCTTAGCGCCGAAATACTACTGTGTCTCCTCTGATAATCGAGTCCGCAAGTTCTCTTTGAAATATGTACATTTTGCAAATTATAATAGTTAGTTTAACTGCGATATTTTATTAAATACGGCATGTCTCTTAATATATAAATAAGAAGATCGATGAAATTAGTAGCGACTAAACTGGTCGCGAAAAACTATCATTAATAATGTGAAATGTAATTCGATAAGAATGATAGCTGTTTTAACGAAAAAATTTGCAACTTATATATATTTTATTTATATAATTAGGTTAAAATGTTGGAATAAATTGGATATTTCCATTTTCTAATAATGTAATTGAATTAAATGAATTATTTATTAATAACTTTATGCAAGATTGGTCGAAATAATCTAATAGGTGGAAGAAAACATGATGAATCATGATTTTTACCGTCTCGAACTTTATCCAATAGAATAAACTAGCAAAAATTATAAAAATGGTTAATGTGTGTAATGCTAAAATATATTTATGTATTTTATACAAGAAGATATTTTTATTTTAATTAGTAAAGCATACTAACCACGACAGTTTATAGAAAAATGAAACGAACCCCATTATAGTTATTAAACATCTTATAATAAAGTCTTTTTTTTTTAATTCAAATTAATATGTAAAATATATTTTTAATTTAAAAACTTTGGAAATATAAATGTCATTATAAATTTTACATTAATTTTTAGTTTAATATTAGAAACATAATAGTACACTGAAAAATATATTAAATTTTAATACATGTTTATTTGAATGGTGCTAATTAAATATTTACTTACAATAAATAAATATTTACTCAATAAAAAGAAATTATAGTTAAATCAAATTAATGGGTTTTTTGTATCAAATAAATATATTTTTATATTTAGTAAATATTTAATTTGGCACTATTCAAATAAATGATTTATTAAAATTCAGCATATTTTTTTCAATGTAACAGAATTAAATATTTTTATCAATATCTCTGATTCGCATTTATCACTCAATATCTTGTGGCAAAAACTAATTTGTTTATTATGTTAATTCCTAATCTATTACGGATTTTATTTTGGATAAAGCTTAAATTGGAAAACACTCTTTCAATTGATGCTAAACTAGAATAGTGATGCTAGAATGCTGAAACAGAATATCGATAACAAAATATTCTATTTATTTTATTGCTTTTAATCGGAAAACCAGTTTTTCCAGAAAATACCATTTTTATTTTTTTACTACTGACCTGAACTTTATTCAAAAAATACAGAATTTTGCTAATCCTAACTTTACGCGATATAAAAATAATTAAACATTTCAAAATATTTGATTATAGCAACTATCCGGATAACTTTTTTTTCGTTTTTATGCATTTTTTTAAATTGAAATTGATTACGAAGATATACGAACTAACGATTATAATGTAGATATATTCGAAAACTCTTCATCTAACATCCCTCTGACGATTTATATAGATTTATTGCGACAAAAGTAGCTTGCCAGAGAATAAAAACGTAAGTATTTGCTCTGTTCGCGAATGAATGTAAATGTAAATTAAAATTGACCCTTTTTACATTAAAATAAGCTGCATTTTATAATCGAAACTAAGCAAGTTCGACAGCCATGTAAAACGAATCGACATTTGCGCGCTTGAGACACCTGCTTCGGCCACAAATTATTCGTTTGTACCGATATTGGGAAACGGGAATTTAGTGATTAAGCTATTCGCCACAAAATTTATTTTCTTGATCGTGCTTGGTGGAACATTTATATTGGTTTCTTTACTATTTAGAAACGATTGCTTACAAAAACACTACAACTGCGATGTCGTATCTTACGATTGTTCGAAATATGCAAATTGTATCAATTCGTCGCTTAATAAAACGTTTTCCTATAACAAGGGATATCTTCGTTAATAAAATATCGACTAGAAAACGATATACATATAGTATTTTGCAGAATTGCTGTTTACGCCCTTTCCATAAATTAAGGATGAAAGGATAATAGAATTTTTTTCTGTATTGGCTACAATCCACTTAATGCTACAAATGTTTTAAAACATTTTTTGATTAGTCAATTAATAAAAAATTGTTTCATTCAATTAGTAAAATTCTTTCATTGGTCATTTAAATACTTCGAAGCATTTGTAGCGCCAAGTGGGCCGCATCCATTGAGTGAATAATTCGCAGTTGTAATTAATGGAAATTTAAATTTCTCCGTTAATTTTCCATTTTATTCTATTATACACTAAAATTATACACTAAAAAGCTTAAGCAAATTTTATTTATAAACATACAAAAATGCGTTTTCTGTTTATATATTCGACATCCTGAAACATTGGGATATGTGACATTGATCTACTGTTTTAATAACCATTCGAATGCTATCGTATTCGACTAATAATATTAAATGTCCATAAATCTAATGTTTATTCATAGTTTATACGCGGGAACTTGTGGAACGCGGGAATGTTAAATTGCCTGAACAAGTACTGGGGTTGAAAAAAGAGGGTGAACCGCGCATGACTTATGGCAGGTGAGCGTAGCGCGCGCGCGCGCGCGCGAGAGAGAGAGAGAAAGAGAGAGAGAGAGAAAGAGAGCAAGTGAGCGGGACGAAAATAGCTTTTGACAGCCGCGTGTTACAATCGCGATAAATCTTCCTCGATCGGGTCGTGCGCGCCAGAATGTTTCCATAATCCGGCCGCGATGCACATTGCGAAAATCGGATCGTGCGTTTTCGCAGGAAAGCAGTAGAAAGAGAGAGGAGGGGGGAAGAGAGAGAGAGAGAGAGAGAGAGAGAGAGAGAGGGAGGGAGGCGGAAGGGAAAATGAACGCAATCCGGGGTTTATCGATACTCGAACTTTTTCCGCACGATTATCGCGATCGACAGCCAGAGTCGTCGTTATCATTTCACCCTTAATTTATGGAAAGGGCGTAAACCAGCAATTTGCAGCGCGAGCCCGAGTATGTAATGTTGCATTTAGGAGTCGTAGCATTTAGGTGCTCGCCGCGGTGCACGATGCTAATTTATGCATCGTACATTTACAGTTTTCTTTATGCTCTCCCCGTTCTACGAGTTTAATTTGATTACCTACTCGCCGTGTGCGCACGGCGCCGCGACGCCGTTTTAGATTCGCCCCGGACCGGACCAGCTGTGTTCACCTCCTTCGGGGATAATTCCGAGCGTTGCACTCGCGATTTCGCAACGATCATCCACTTGGCACGCTTGGAACCCGATGGAGAACTCGTGAGAGAATTCACGTCACGAAACACACGTTGCTTAAATTGAAATTACGGGTACACGATATGTCCCGCGATAAAAC